TTATTTTCCGCAGTTTGAATATGATACATAGATTTTTGGCTATTATCTTATTCGGTGTTTTCTGAGCTTCTGGATTTATGGTTTGGCATCTGATGTTAGTTTGGAGGAAATTATCAGTTATTATTGTGTTGAATTTTTTTTGTTCCTGTATCTCTTTTCATTCTGTTATGCCTATTATGAGTATGTCACACTTTTCTAGTTGTTCCATATTTCTTGGATATTCTGTTTTATCTTTTTTCGGTCTTTTCTCTTTTTTAGTTTTGGTGGTTTTTATTGATATATCCTCAAGCTCAAAGATTCTTTTCTTAGCTGTGTCTAGTCTACTGATGAGCACATCAAACACATTCTTCATTTCTGTTACATTGCTTTTGCTCTCAAGCATTTCTTATGAATCTTTCTTAGAATTTTTATTTCTTTGCATACATTACCCATTTGTTCTTGCATGTTGTCTACTTTTAACACTATAGCTTTTAGCATATTAATCATAGTTGTTTTAAATTCATGAGCTGATAATCCCAGCATCTCTGTCATATCTTGATCTGTTCCTGCTGCTTGCTCTGTCTCTTCAAATTTTCGTTTTTACCTTCTAGTATGCCTTATACATTTTTATTGAAAGGTAGGCATGATGTTCTGGGTAAAATAACTGTAATCATGATCCTTTAGCTATACAGTAGTAAGACATGAGGGGGTGGGAAATCATTCTATAGTCCTATGATAAAGTCTCAGTCCTAGGCTGTAAACTTCATAAAGACTTTTCCCCAACCACCCCCTCACTCCACTTTTTTTTCTTCACCTACATAGCTTGTAAAGGATGGAATTTGGTATTTTTCTTCCCCCAGGTGAGGCTGGGGTTAGACTTTGAAAATCCCTCAATAGGTTAGGCTCTGATGAAATAGTTTCTCCTCAGGGCAGGCTTTGTTAGGAAGTACAGAATGCTCTGATATATTATTCAAAATGATTGCTTTTCTCTTCCCCCTGATGGAAGCCAGGAGATACTTCTTTAATCTTCTCCTTGAGAACCTGGTAGAGCTCCTAAAGGTAAAACTCAACAAAAGTGTACTCCTGTCCCCATGACTAGGTACCCCTGGAGTTTTTGTCACAGGCTTGTTCCCACACAGCTTCTAGCAATTTGTCAATTAAAGTTCGGATTTTCCTATCCCTAAACTAGTTTCTACCTGGCTCAGGTGGGCTATGATTCTCTGTACTTGCCTTTTTCTCCAAATTTAGGGGCATCAGTTTGCCCTGTGACCTCATTTCTCCGTAGGACCTAAGAAGAGTTGTTCATTTTCCAGTTTGCTCACCTTTGTATATGTTGTTGGATTCTAGTGGCGACTTCTAAGCTCCTTACGTCCCAGACCAGAAACTAGACTGTCCTCTATGTTTTTATGAAAATGCTCTCAGCTGTGACATTTAAACAAACAGACTGATGTTTTTCAGAGGCCACAAATACACAAGGTTTAAAAAAATTATTTAAAAAAGAGAAACCATTGAATTATGTTAATATTTGTATTCCTCTCTAATATGGTTGTAAGTAAAAAATCAGTAACATCTGTTCTGGATCATGAGTCATAACCACCTCTACTCATTTAGAACATTTTCATTTACTACCTGCAGCTCCTCTTTTGCACTTTAGAAATATGACTTGGATATAGCTCAAAGGAGGAGTGAAGGCCCTTTTCATTATCCACATCTACATTTCCTATTAACTGCTTTTCATTCTTTATGATGAGAGTCCCTTCATGCAGAGATTTCTGATGGAAGGAAATTAAACCTTTCTCACAAGAGAAAATTTAGCTTTTAGAAAGTTGTTAACGTTGCTGAAGTTGAACATAGACCTACTGTTAATATTAATAAAAAAATTACTACTGATCATAATGTTTTAAGTATTACATAAGAATTTTCCTTTGACATTTGAAAATCAATGTGGCTGATACTCCCCAAGATGCTCTATTTTTATTGGGAGATGGTTTTTATAACTTTTGAGCATAATAAGCTCCTTGAACAACAGTTCACATGTTTCTGTTCCCGGTTCATTGCCATAGTAGCAAATTTACATAAGAATGAGGTATATTTTGACCGGAAACATAGCAAACATCCATTTTGGTTAACTCTCTGCATATCATCCAGATACATAGACTCTAAATTTAGTTTTTGAGTTTTTATTTTGTTCAATTTTAACTATTTTTAAGGTTTGATATTTCACTATGACTTTTATCCTTATTAGAGGTTTTCAAAAGAACAAAGAGTAAATTTAATTTTTTAAAAGATACAATAAAATTTATTCCATCTTGCAATTACCATAAGGTTCTACTGGGCCCTTTACACATCATTAATCCCAAAATATACTATGAGATTTTAGTTATCTTATTTTTTCATATTTCTTAAAACATGTTGCTATTTTATTATTACTCACCAATTATTTCCAACTATGTTAAAAAGACGAAAACAATTGTTTAGATAGAAGAATGGTGGAGTCAACCAGAAAGGTGATACAGATGTGAAACATAATCACTGAAGTATTTTTCCTACTATTCCAAAAATCAAGATCTCTCTCTCTTTCTTTCTTGTTGTCTCTTACACACACACACACACACACCCCATAATGTTTATTAGCTAAAATGGAAGTGAATATTTGTTGATTATTTATCTTCATACATGTTTTTAGGAGTTTTAATTAACTAGATTATATTATTTAAATCTCACAATATACCAGTGAGGTAATCACTTTTACTCCTGGACCTAATTAAACTGAAGAGGTTTTGTGCAGCAAAAGAAACTATCTACAGAGTAAATAGCCCACAAAATGGGAGAAAATGTTTGCAAGCTCTGCATCTGAAAAAGGCCTGATATCCAACATCTATAGTAAGAAAAAATAAACAACCCCATTAAAAAGTGGGCAAAGGACATGAACAGACACTTTTCAAAAGAAGACATTTATGTGGCTAATGAGCATATGAAAAAATGCTCAACATCACTGGCCATTAGAGAAATTCAAATTAAAACCACAATGAGATATTGTCACATACCAGTTAGAATGGTTATTAATAAAAAGTCAACACATAATAGATACTGGTGAGGTTGTCAAGAAACGGGAATGCTGTATACTACTGGTGGTAATGTAATTTAGTTCAGCGACTGTGCAAAGTAGTTTGGCAGTTTTTCAAAGAACTTAAAATTGAACCATCATTTGACCTAGCAATTCCATTATTGGGATATATACTCAAAGAAATATAAATCATTCTACCATGAAGACATATGCACACATATGTTCATTGCTGCACTATTTACAATAGCAAACACATAGAATTAACTTAGATACCCATCAATAATAGACTGCATAAAGAAAATACAGTACATATTCACAATGGAATACTATGCAGTCATGTAAAAGGACAGGATAATGTCCTTTCAGCAAAATGGTTGGGGCTGAAGGCCATTATCCTAAGCAAGATAATGCAGTAACAGAAAATCAGGTGCTTCATGTTGTCACTTATAAGTGAGAACTAAACATTTAGTATATGTGGACACCAAGAAGGAAACTATAGACACTGGGGCCTACTTGAGGGTGTAGGGTGGAAAGAGGGTGAGGATTGAAAAACTACCTATCGGGTACTATGCTTATTACCTGGGTGATAAAATAATATGTAAACCAAACCCCACAACACACAATTTATCTATATAGTAAACCTGTACATGTACCCCTGAAACTAAAAGTTTAAGAAAAATAGTTCTTACCCCTGGTTTATTAATAAAGAGAGTCTAAGAGCATATGCATTGTTTTATGTCTTATGCTGTCTAATTTAGTAGCTGATACCAAGTAAATGATCAATATATTTTAATTAATAAATTACATTTTTTCAGGAAACTGTGAGATTTTGGATGAAATACATATACATTTTAAATTCTAAGTAATATTGAACACTTACTGAATATAAAATGTGGCCCCTGCCTTTTAGGAATATTCTAGTTTTATGGAATACTTACCATAATATAAGGAGGAAGTTCCGCAGCTTAATCTGACTATGATTTTGCAAAAGAGGTGGTGATTTCTCCTATTCGGAGGAATCATCCGTAGTAGTACATAACCTTATACGTTCATCAGTGGAGAGAAAGGGTATTCCAGAGGGATCATCTCAAGTATACAGCTGGATATAGGAAAGAGGATAGTTTACATGTGACTAGCCAGTTGTAGGTATGAATATAGTAACCTGTTCATCTGAGTTTCTATATTTTATGAGAACAGTTGTAACCAATAGATACATATACACATATACATACGTTAGCACATATCAAAATAATATCCTAGGATAGTTTTTTATGAACTATTTGGTTACTAATTATTCTGGTTTTAGGAGTGGTATAATGAGAAAATGTACTAGTAGTCTTCATTCTTGCTGAATCTTTCTCTGAGGCACTGTTTACAGCTCAGTGGTCCAAAATGGAGATGGCAGACATTCTGGAAAAATTAGAGGCTTGTGTTCAGATGAGTCTGGCCGAGCTGTATGACCTCCAGCAGAGCACTTCATTTACCTCAGTTGTGAAGTGAGGAAGGACTGCATACTTTACAAGGTTATAATGATAATTAAATAAGATATCTATATAAAGTCCTTGTCCCATGTCCAGCATATAATAGATAGATATGAAAGTGGAGGTAGCTGGGGTTCAATTCTAGATCCTATATACTCCAGAACACACAAGCTCACCAGAACCTAGAAATCAGATATACTAGACACTAACTTGAGGACATCCAACAATCCAAATTTAAGGAGGAGATTTGCCAAATAAGTAAAAAGATGTTCATATTATTACTTTTGGATTGCATTGCTCCACTCAACAATGGGAAGCTGAGTTTATTAGCATATTAATTAAAGGGACAATTGGAACAAAATACTGTTATAATAGTAATGAGAAAGTAGAAAATTCTAATTGTGTAACTCAGTATTTATTTGAAGAGGAACACAGGTACTTTTTTGAAGCAGCCATGTTTCATTATCTTACAGATAAATCCAAAACACATGACAAAGTTGCTGCACTGCCCAAGAAAAGGGTAAGATTGTGTTTTATTATATAAAATATACAAACTTCAAATTTCATTTGATTAATAGTATTTTTTAAAGAAAAATTATTTAAAAACAAATAATGACATACAGTCCATTTTTTCTTCTAAATGTTACTTCAGTATATGTTTCGTTTCTTAGGTTGATACTAGGAAATTAATATTTATGGTTACTTATATTAATGTGATAGGACTATCAGAAATTAAAACAGTAGAAAACTGTAAATAAACAAGTAAATGAGTGCTTTTACTTAAATTATATTTCATATTCATACTTTTATATATTCTTCACACTCATACTCTTATAAAATATTTTCATATACTATATTACCATAATGTGTGTACAAAATCTCATAGAAAATTTAAATAGAATTTGGAGCTCAATATGGCCTCTATCTTAAACTTAAGTAGATCACAGTATCAGCCATTTTAATGACTTTTTTGAACCTGGATTTTTAAAATGTAAATTATCAGCAGCATTTTAAAAGAATTATTAAAATTTAATACATTGTTCTGAATATTGTATTCAGAGAGTTGTTTACTTACTGTCCAAAACTTGACTGAGATAGGATGAACCTTGACATTCTCCTCAACTGATGATGTTCTTACTACTAAACAAGGAAAAAGAGTTGGTGCCTAAAACAAATACTTCTGGACATATACTAGTGCCACAATAAAAGGAATTATGATAGAAAGAAAAGCCTATGATGAGATTTTCTGTGTTGAGTGGTGAGGCAGAGCAGATCAAGGGATGGTGAAGTGTAACCTCGAGGAACAGAAAAGGATGTTGGGCATGTAACTATAGATGGCTAGACAAAGCCTGGGCATCATGTTTGTATTCTGAATATGTGCATTTTATGAGTCCTTCTAAAATCAGATTTTGTTTTATCATTTGCTTTTTGGCTTATGAAAGGAATTTGGTCTTTTCACTGGCTGAGTAATGTTCATGTTCTTTTGCAGAAAGGAATTCAGTATCACAGAAAACAAGGTTGCCCTTTATAAAAGAAAGGATATAGGTCTTGTGTGTTCATCTGGAGATTTAGACAGGAATATGTGAAGTAGTGTAGTATTGTTAATGTGGACACGTTTATTTCAATCTTTGCTAAAAGATATTTAATCAAAGATTATAAAGATAATAACTAATGTTTCTATATATTACTTTATTTTTATTGGTTGTTCTTAACAAGTGTAGTACTATCCTCAGTGCCATGGGCCAGATCTGACCTTTAAACTATTTTTGGTCTGCAATGAGATATGTACCAAAAGCAAGAGTAATCATTTATGAACTTGTATGGTAATTTGACAGAATATTTTTTGTCTGTTGAATCTAATAATAATAAAATGGAACTTGTGTTTTTTAATATGTCTGTATTTTTTTATTTCATTTTTTCTCTAGTAACTCATTTTTATTTTATTTAATAAAAGTATAAATCTCAGATAGACTGGGGGAAAAACTTTACCACAGAGAGTTGGAGAGAAACTGTCTTAGGAGACATTTTAGAAATTTTTGGAGATGCTGTGGGTTATAGTAATTTTGGAGAATATAAGGTGTTTCACTGGGCAAGGGCTAGAGACACTAGGTATCCTGAGAGGTATGGAACAGGGCTGTGTCCAATATTTTGAATGATTTTGAATGTTCTGCTGGAGTCAGCAAACTATAAGTATAATTATATGTTGTGTTAATACAAAATAATACTGAAACATTACATGTTAGGCTAAAAGCCAAGGAATTAGAAGGCTTGTTATAGAGAGGCAAACTGATGTAGAATAGACAGATTAAATAGCTCTTGAAATAATTGACTATTTTACTGAACACTTTGTAACATTTTCAACTGTATATTTAGCCACCAAAGGTCAAAGTATAGTTACAGAGAAACTGTGGAAGGAATTTACAGATATGTAACAGGAAATTTGAGATGGCGTTTGTCTTAAAACTAAATATTACTTACTAAATTAATAGAGACATAGGAAATGCATTGATTTCACTGAATTTTTAAAATAAATGTTTAGAAATATTTTTAGTTCTTGTGTCAGTTTGCTGAGAATGATGGTTTCCAGGTTCATCCATGTCCCTACAAAGAATACTAACTCATCAATTTTTATGGCTGCATACTACAGAAAATCAAACACCACATATTCTCACTCATAGGCGGGTGTTGAACAATGAGAACAAAGGGACGCAGGGAGGGGAGCATCACACACTGAGGTCTGTTGGGGAGAGCTTGGGGAGGGACAGCGAGGGTTAGGGAGTTGGGGAGGGATAACATGGGAGAAATGCCAGATATGGGTGACAGGGATGAAGGCAGCAAACCACATTGCCATGTATGTACCTATGCAACAATCCTGTATGTTCTTCACATGTACTCTAAAACCTAAAACACAATAAAAGTAAAAATATACACACACACACACACACACACACACAACTTAAAGAAAAAAAAAGTTAAACATAAATTGACCTTAAGATCCAGCAATCCTTCTTCTAGGTATGTACTCAAGAGATAAAAACGTACATACACACAAAAATTTGTATGTGAATGCTCATAAAAGATTATTCATAATAGTTGATATGGTTTGGCTCTGTGACCCCACTCAAATCTCATGTTGAATTATAATCCCACATGTCAGGGGAGGGGCCTAGTGGAGATGATTGGACCATGGGAGCAGATTTTCCACATGCTGTTCTCATTAAAGTAAGTGAGTTCTCAGGAGAGCTGATGGTTTAAAAGTGTGGCACTCCCCAGCTTTACTCTCTCCTGCCACCATGTAAGACATGCCTTGTTTCCCCTTTGCCTTCTACCATAATTATAAGTTTCCTGAGGACTCCCCAGTTCTGTGTGATTTTAATTGACTCACAAAGAACTGTGAGTCAATTAAACCTCTTTTCTTTATAAATTAAATAAATAAGTAAATATTTTTAGTGTTGTTGGTAAGATTATAAAACATTTCCACAAACATTGTCTTTCACTTTAGACCCCGAGGGGAAAACAAGGCAGACATTATTATCATTATCTTATAAAGAAGGTCATTTATGGTTAGAGAAGTTAAGGAACTTGCTCTAGCCACATGGTACTTTTGGATATTTTTATTTAATCTTAATCAGTTTTCCTTAATTCCTGTTAAAATATTGACAAGGCATCCTCATTAAGGTTTGAATATTAATTTCACTTAGTAAGATAGCTTTTATTTTTCTTTACAGTTTGGTTTTATGGATATTGAACATAATATTTTTAAAGATGAGTACTGTTTTAGATAAAATACTATATGTGTATAAAAGAAAGCTGTTGGTATGAAAGAAAAAAATAATGGCAAAATATATTAGGTAATTAAGTGCCAGGCACTACATGTTATTTCATTTTATTTCAACAATTATGAGGCATATTCAATATTGTCTCTGGTTCACAAGTGAAGAAAACAGGCAGGGGGATATTGACCACTACGAAAAACAATACAAAAATAGATTATTAAAAAGGAGATAATTGCTTCTAGAGCCCCTCATCCTAGGTTGAAAATCTTAATAGTTTCTGTTTTTTTATTTATATAAATACATAAGTATTTATATACATTATATATTTATATAACACATAAGTATTTATATGTTATATATTATTTATATGAATACAAAGTATTCATATAAATAAACAAAATACAAATTGTTAAGATTTTCAACCCAGGATGAGGAGCTCTAGAAGCAATTATTTACTTTTTTATCATCATCTTTGCATTGTGTTTTTTGCAGTGGTCAACACTGTTTTCTTCATTTGTGAACCAGAGATAATACTTATGTATTTATATAAACAAATGTGTGTATATGTATAAATGTTTTATGATTGTTTTATTTTTTACAATGAGATCTCATTATATATGCTACTCTATAGATTTAAATACTTAGATTAATAAATACAGAACTGTTTTTAACATTCTGCATAGCATACCAGAGCAGATGTATCAAAGTTTTATTAACCAGTCATATGTTAATGAATATGTAGATGTTTTCAAATTGCTGGTGTGGTTCAGTGCTGCTATAAGAAATGATTTAGTAAACATCCTTGCATATATATTTTTAAGTGCTGGTACTATTATTTCTATGTGATAGTTTCCCAAAGAAGAATTGGTAGATCAAAGCTACTCACAGTGTTTTCCTGCTTCCCTTGAATCATAAAAAGACCTTGAGGAATAAGTTGTCAAAGTTATGTGTTGGCCTGTGCTGAGTTATATTATCAGTTGCTGCCATCTCTTTGAACCAAGATATAAGAATGTAGCCATCTTGGACACTACTCCTAATTGTCTACTTTGAAAGGTATTCCTGGGGTCAAGTATGAGAGCTCTGTCTACAAGCTTCTGCTACTTACTTAGCTCCCCTTTTAAGCTCTTTAGCCGTGTGTGATAGAGGTGGGTAGTACATGTGCACCTGCCTGATCACCTCTGCCCCACTGGCAGCAGTCTGAATGAAAGAGACTCTGAGTAAGTCACACTAATCTCTCTGAGTTCCATTTGATAAAAAGGAGTGGGTCTAGCTTCTGTAAGTCCCTTCCCATCCTGATATCCCATGAACTGTAAGATATTCATAACAGCTCATGAAGTACTTTTAGAATATCAAAAGACTTGTGCAGACCAGAATTAATATATAGTAAATGTCTGAGTCAAGTGGGCCTAAAGATAAATAATAAAAATAAAAATAAAAAACAAGTATACCAGGAAGACAGGTGGAGTAGCTGATGGTGTTGCCTGTAATAGATTTTAAAAGGTGTTTGAATAGATAAGTATATGTATGTATGTGTATTTATATACATACAAACTTTGTGTGTGTGTGTGTGTGTGTGTGTATCTTTAGGAAACAGTATACTGTGGTGGAAGAATACAAACTTATAACTGAGACAGCTCTGTCTCCAAGAGCTAGCTACTTAATTGTTGTGTGATCTTAGATTAAATGAGATCTAGCCTCATTTAATCAATCCCTCTATATTGGTAACAATAATAATTATCTTGTA